GTTTTGCTCTGTTCTCTCATATTTCTTTGTCTTGGTGCAGCTGATAGGTTGTAAGGGGGCGAGGCCTTAGGTATTCACCCTAACAGGGCAACCCTCTTTGTTGTGCTGTGGTGCTGCCTGTGGGGGAGGGGCCAGAGAGGGAACAATGCAGCTCTCCGGCTTGTCTTTAGCACACTTCCCAACTAGACTCTCGTTTGAGACTGGGAGTTTTACCCACCAGGGCAACCACCATAATCCACAGTCAACTCTGAGTCTCAGTGTCACCTTCAGCTGGCCCTGCCTGCCTGGTCTGCTGCCTCACGCAATTTTTCTGAGTTGGCTAGAACAGTCCACCCCCTTACTGGTCTGGTTGTTCTGGTTGATTTTTTTTCTAATTCCTTGGTTATCAGAGTTCCATGCAGTTTGATTTTCTGGTGCTTCTGGTTATTTATTGATTTTAGATTGGTTGTTATCCTCCTTTTGGTTGTGCAAGGAAGCTAAGGGTTTCTACCTTTGCCTCCATCGTGGCTAGAACTTGATCAAGTTTCTTTGAGAAGCCCAGTAAGACTCCTGCCAGATTAGAGCAGGAACCCAAGAAACCTTACTGCTTGTTGGCAAATCTGGGCCTTCTGTGCTGATATTTTATAGCCACAAGATGTCAAATGGTTCAATGTACCTATAGTATTAGTTAAATTGCACATCTACATATTGTAACAGAGTCCCTCCTTCTAGTTTCAGATCTTTTTAGCCCTGGCTCAAGGTCTCCCCAAAATTATAGGCCATTTCTTGAACCCTTGTGGTAAGACTGTCCAGCAGTAGAGTCTTTCTCTGAGAGTCCAGGTCCTGCCATTCAAAAGCAAACAATGGTTGAGAGTCTTGGTCAACTGGCATGCAAAAGAAAGCATCTTTTAAGTCCAATACTGAACACCAGAGACTGTCCAGGATATGCTATTCTGTACGCCATTTATGGCCCTTAAATCTTATATTATAGAGGGAGTAGCAGGGACAAATAAGTCAAAATGCCTGAAACTTCTCAATTATTGTAAGTATTCCCTCTAGGCCCTCCTTTTGCAGGGATACTACCTCTTACTGGAGTCCCTGCCCCTGGTCTGAGGTCACCTTTAACAAAGGAGGCTGCTTAGCCTTTCCTGGACTTTGAGCAGCCCACACAATGGTGTTTACCTGATTCTTGATTGCTTTCCTCCTTCCCATAGTTTCATAAGAAAATGTTGGCATGCTCTGGAGGGACCTGTAGGTGGAGCTATCATTCTTCTGGAGAGAAAGTAATTTGAACTCAGAGTTTCATCAACAAATCCCAGGGGAGAAAAAACATATCTCCCACAGAACATTCTTAATGTCTTCAAGGAACATTGACTTTCAGGGTTTCCAGAAATTTCAGTTACAGTTCAGCTAGAGGTCTAAGGACCACAAAATATGTTGCTTTGGTATCAGTCAGAAGGGTCTACAATTTGTCCTCCCACTGTCAGTTTTACCTGAGTTCTCAGACTCTGGCCTCTTTTTCCCTTGCTAAGAACACTTATTTTTATAGTGCACTTTTCCCTTGCAATATGATTGCCCTGCCCTGGTAGGAGCTTGTCATCCACCAAATTTGATTCCCTAACAGGTTTGAGATGGAGAGATCAGTTCAGGCTCACCTCCTTTGGCTCCCTTAGCCAAGTTAGAAGGAGGACTCCCCAGGGCTGGAGGAACCTTGGGATCCCTGACAATGCTCACAGCAGCCATCCTTATCTTCCTGGTCCCTCTCTTCTGAGCTCCTGCTGTCTGCCATAGGCAAATTCTTTTTACTCTGGACCATTTTCCCATTCCTCTGATCTTTGATAAAGCAACTTTAAATGCAGTATAGTACAGTAGTTTAAAGACCCATTCATCATCTAACATTCTCCTAAATCCAGACTATACATAAGCCAAGCAGCATTATAATAAAAAGCCATTTCTTAGATCATAAGCATAGATCAACCAGTCAGCCAGAATTCACCCCAAAGGACTGTTTCCCAGAACAGAGGCTACCCCACCACCATATTCTACCAGAGCTCTGTAATACCACACAAACCAGAAGGCAATTTAATTAAACTAGAAGGCACCTCTTTACCAGATAGAACTCTATAAACCAGAAACTACCTTAATTAAATAGGACTGCAATCCCAAACCAGAAAGCTTAGTGATCAATTGCAAGTGAAGGTGACATGGGGTGCTGAGAATCAGAGAAGAATCCCCAAAGGAAATCACTTGGCAGCTTTTAGGGAGTCTCCAAATCCATGCACTAGGGCCCCTCAGTCCAGGCAGCCAATGGGACTCCATGCCAAATAGCCACTTAGCAGAGACTCTTGAAGATGTCCTATCTTGGTCGCCTGAATATGAAACTGGAGGTCAGTGATCATGCTGTCTGTCACTACCAGAGCCAATAAGTAGAGACAAGTATTGAATTTTCATGGGTACTTTATTCAGATGGCTGGCAACATAAGAAGACAGTGGGTTATATACCCTCAAAAACTATCTTAACATCTCATTTCAAGCCTACCTTTTTATAAGAAGAAAAGGTAGGTAAGGGGTTTGGAAAAAGGTTAATTGGATAATAGCAAGTTTCCTAGTACTTCTTTATCTGTTGATCAATTCTTTATCTGCACCCCCCTCCTTGAAACACAATGGCTCAGATACCATCTCCATGGCTTGCAGACCTCCTGGGATACAAAAGGTTGAATTGCTTGTGGACCTCCTGGAGTCATTGTGGCCATTCATTCCAGTTCCTGGAATAACAGCTTTCCACATGCATTAATCACTTAAGCTTATTAACTAAGGCTAAAATCTTTGACTCTAGAGTTCCCCTGTCAAGAAGAAAACTTGGGAACTGGGTGTCTGGTCAACATGGAGACATAGGTAGATATGCTTCACTTTCTCAAATAATCAAAAGAAAGATAACAACCAATTTAAAAAGAAAAAACAAGAACTGCAGAAAATCCAACCAAAGAGTTAAAGAAACATTCATCCAGACTAGTAGGAGGGGTGGAGACAGGAAGCCAAGGCAGCAAAGATTCACAAAATGGTGGCAGTTGGTGGACAGGGGTGGGAGAAGTAGATGGTGGACTGAAATATCCCATGTTCGAGTTAAGATGGGAGGAACAACTGGGGAGCAAGACAGCCTGCACAACCCAGGGTTCCACCACAGGAAACTAAATACTCAAAGTCTCTGGCTATAAAAACCTTTGGGGGTTACAGCAGCAGGAGAAACTCCTAGTCTCACAGGAGAGACCATTGGAGGGACCCACAGGGTCCTAGAATATACACAAGCCCACCTATCTGGGAATCAGCACTTGAAAGGGTACAATCTGATTGTGTGAAGTGAGGGAAGTGACTGAAAGTGGAGTGAGAGCCAAGCAAGTGGCATTGTTCCCTCTCTGACTCTTCTCCCACATACAGTGCTACAATGCAGCAAAGAGGCTTGCCTGGGGCTCTGGCCTTTACAATGTGCACCTAAACAAAGAAATATGGCCCAAATGAAAGAACAGATCAAAGCTCAAAAAAAAAATGCAACTAAGTGACAAAAAGATAGCCAACGTACCAGATGCACAGTTCAAAACCCTGATAATCAGGATGCACACAGAATTGACTGAGTATGGTCACAGAGTAAAGGAAGAAGTGAAGGCTATGTAAAACAAAATAAAGCAAAATATACAGGGAACCCAAAGTGAAGGAAGGAAACTGAGACTCAAATCAAAGATTTGGAACAGAAAGAAGAAATAAACATTCAACTGCAACAGAATGAAGAAATAAGAGTTCAAAAAAATGAGGAGAGGCTTAGGAACCTCTGGGACAACCTTAAACATTCCAACATCTGAATCATAGGGGTGTCAGAAGGAAAAGAGGAAGACCAAGAAATTGAAAACATATTTGAAAAAAATAATGATAGAGAACTTCCCTAATCTGGCAAAGGAAATAGACATGCAAGTCCAGGAAGCTCAGAGAGTCCCAAACAAGTTGAACCCAAGGAGGAACGCACCAAGGTACATCATAATTGCATTACTCAAGATTAAAGATAAGGAGAGAATCTTAAAAGCAGAAAGAGGAAAGGAGACAGTTACCTACAAAGGAATTCCCATAAGGCTACCAGTTAATTTCTCAAAAAAACCTTGCAGGCTAGGAGGGGCTGGAAAGAAGTATTCAAATACATGAAAAGCAAGGACCTGCATCCAAGATTATTCTATCCAGCAAAGCTTTCATTTAGAATGGAAGGGCAGATAAAGTGCTTCCCAGATAAAATCAAATTAAAGGAGTTTGTTATCACTAAACCCTTATTATATGAAATTTAAAAGGGACTTATCTAAGAAAAAGATCAAAGCTATAAATGACAACAAATGAAAATAGTAAAATGACAACAAACACAACTATCAACAACTGAACCTAAAAAAACAAAAATAAAAACAAACTAAGAAAACAACTAGAACAGAAACAATCACAGAAATTGAGATAACATGGAGGATTATCAGTAGAAAGGAGGCTAGGGAGAATGGGGGTAAAGATACAGGGAATCAGAAGCATAATTTGTAGGCACAAAATAGACAGGGGGAGATTAAGAATAGTATAGGAAATGGGGAAGCCAAAGAACTTATATATACGACCCATAGTCATGAAATAAAGTGGAGGAATGCTGGAGGGAGGGGTAGTGCGGGGCAGAGGAGAATAAAGGGGTTGGGGAAAAAGGGACAACCGTAATAGCATAATCAATAAAATATACAAAAAAAAGAAGACAACTTGGTTTTAGGAAGCAAGTAGCCAGGGAGAGCCAGACTGGAGTGGGGAGAGGGTCCTGGGGTAGGAAGGCTAAGAGATCCCACTCCAAGTTTCCCTGAGTGATGTCAACCCCAGGACATTGGGGGCTGGTTTGTGGACTGGGGGAGGAAGCTTGTATCTAGGTGACCCTCCCTGGGGTCTTCAAGCACACTAGGGAGCACATGGTTGACCAGAACACATGTGTAGTCCACAGGGAGCCCCTAACTCAGTGACAGTCAGCAGTCGAGGCCAATAGACACCAACAGGTCCTCAAGAGCATGTAGCTGCTGCTGCATCATCTCAATGTTGCTGTAGATCTACACAATGCTGGCCATGTAGAAGCAGATATCATCTATCAGCAGGATAGATCCCAGCTTCTGCCAGCCACCAGAGCCACCACATCCTCCTTCACAGCCTTTGAAAACTCCTCCCCCTCCAACAGCTGTGAACAGACTAGCTCAGGGCATGCCCACTGCCCACTACTGACCACTGCCTGCCCCCACCCACCAAAGCTTACACTAGCCCACCTTCTTGATAACCTTGGCCATGTACTCACTGCATTGGTCCTCAAGGCCTATGAGGCAGAATAGCTTGGCCACAGGCCACACACCTACACAGCCAACCATGGTGTCCTCATCCAGCAGCTGGGCCAGACTGCAGTCACACAGTTTCAGACCCAGCAACAGCTATATGTTAGCCATCCTCAGCACATCATAAGCCACATTTTGCAGTGGGGTGGGGGAAGCTGTGGTGAAATGAGGGTGATGGAGGGTGCACCTCAAGGTCACCAAGACCTCTCAGGGTCCCAGCTGTAAGGATGGGACCTGCTGGGGAGAGAGGTTGTAGGCTTCAGGCAAAGCAGATGCTCCCTACCCATGCCAGGTGCCTGGCCTGGATCCCTGCTGTTATCACTGGGACCAAAAGTGACACAAGAACCTGGGGTTCCCATGCCTCAGGAAGAGCAGAGCCTGAGCTCTGAATCACACAGACATGAGCTAGGAAATTCTAGCTGTGGCATCGTGGGCAAATCACTTCACCTTTGTGCCTCAGCTGTCCTGTGAGCTGCAGACAATCATGCCTGCCTTAAAACGCTGTCAGAAAACTGACAAAAGTTGCTTCTGGTAAAACTAAGGCAGAGACTCTACTAATGGAGGGGAAGTAACTATTTACCAGCTCCCTCCATCTATAGAAGCTGTGGTATTTAGGGCATAGCCATAGTTGTACCCTATGCTGGAAGAGATCATGTGCTCAGCTCTGGTCCAGACTTTGAATGGCCACAGGAAGCAGACTGAATACAGAGCTGACAGGACCTCTGCTAACCCATCACAGGTCATGTGCACAGTGCTTACTTTTGCTAGGTACTGTACTTACAATATGCACATTCAACCACAGAAGACCTTAAGAGGTAACAACTATCAGTATCCACGTTTTCTAGAAGAGGAAATTGAAGCATAAAGCAGTTGAGTAACTAAACCAAGATCTCACAGCTCTGTGGGGGACTAACCCAGAGTTAAACCAGATTTGGAACCCAAGTCCTTGCTCTAAGTCATTAAGAAGCTGCCCTCTGGGTGGCAAAGCTTTCTGGGGTCAGGATGGGCCAAGTTGGATCCTGGGTGGCAGGTCCAGAGAGCTGGGCTACACTACAGGAGAAATGAAATAAGGAGGTAGGAGGGATTCTCTAAAAGGCTATGTGGTAAATACTGTGTGCCACCTTCTAGGGTCTCTGTCACAGCTACTCAGTTTTGCCATTGTGCAAAAGCAGCCACCAACAGTACAGAAATGAATGGTTGCAGTTGTAGTTTCCATAAAAAAGTATTGACAAACAGGCTAGATATGGCCTGTAGCCCAAGGTGGAATGAATAACCAGCAAGCTGCCTGCCCAGGGATACTCACCTCCATATGAAAGGAAGACAAATTTCTCTCTTGCAAAAGTCACAATATGTACAGTGGCCTTTACATGAACACACACACCCTAGCAGAGAACATTCTTGGCACTATCTGCTGCTGCCCATGTTACCTTGTTTTAGGGAGGCCTTGGAGCAGGTGAAGATACAGGGAGGCAGTGAGAAAACAGAAGACAGGAGATAGAGAACCCCAGGAGTCTGCAGCAAACTACAGGCAGGAGGCTCAGAGATCCTCACTGTTGTGGGAATCCAGGGTTACTGTCCTCTGGTTAAAGAAGTTGGGGACACTATATGGTTGACTTGTCCCCAAGTGTCATGTGCTCATGACATGGGTGTTGTCACTCATTCCTGTTCTAGGGCCCCTCCACCTAAAAGAAAAATGCAAATGGGCCCCATACTCCCTCTCCAACCACATGGAAATCCTGTCCCTCAAAGCCAGGCAGGATCTGGGCACACCCTTAAAGCCCGATAGTGACATGGGCTGTGTGCCTGTCCTGACCATCGTGCCTCCTGCCCCTGGCACAGAGTACACAGCCCACCCCAGCCTGCACTTTGGCGTGGCTGCTATATGTGTAGTAGATAGAACACATGGGTGAAGATGCAGGGCCAGATTCAGGGTGATGGCTGGAAGGTCACCAATGGCCTTCAGCCCCTCATTTTCTCCAAAATGGTCATCCAACAGGGCTTGGAAGTAGTCACTATGGCCAGAAAAGAAGGTTTGGGGAAGGCTAGGCTTAGGGAAGGCAAGGGCCAGGGCTGTGCCCAGAGGAGCTGGCCCAGGGCTTAATGCAGGGAGGGGGTTGGACATCACCTTGTGACAGAGAAATCTGAAGCCCCCCCACTCAGAATCAAATATTAGGAAAGATTTTGAAGACATCAGGAAAAAGGAAGGGCAGCTCCCCAAGTTGCCCCAACTTCCTGCAGGAGGCTGTCACTTGCTTCTAAGCGAGAGGTTGGCCTCCACCAAGGGCCTACTTTGCCTTGATCCTTTGCATTTGCCTGGAGGCATGGACTGCCATCCTGTTTGCATATTTAAATACAAGGCAAACAACAGTGTACAACTAGACTCAGAAAAGGGAAGTGATTGGCTTAAGGCTACACAAGAAACTGAACCCAAACATGGGGCTTGCCTACCACAGCCCAGTGCCCAGACACATTTTCTGCCCACCAGCTCCAACCCCAAGCCCCTGTGTGCTTAGTAGGAGCTCAGGGTGTAGGGTGCAGACAGCCAGTAGGACTAGGACCTCCCAGGACCTCCCAGAACCAGGAGTCCTCTGGTGGGGGAGCCTAATGCTCAGAACCTTCACATACTTGTAAGTGCCTGGCATAGATGCCACTGCAGAGGAGACAACACAGCTTCAGGGAGTTAGGTTGGCTCTGCCGGTTCCTGCCCAAAGCCCTGGACCCCAAAGCCTAGACACACTGAACTCAGACACTACCTTGCACTTGGCCTCCAGGTCATTGATCCAATAGTTGGCACTGCTTAGCCAAGTGCTCACAGCCACTATGTTCTACACTGACGTCCAGGTGGCCTGGGAGCAGTGTGGGAAGCTCAGGGCCTGAGAGGGACCATTAAAAGTATACTACATTGGCATGTAGAGTTTCATAAGTGGTCCCTCCTTCTTAGCCACTTGGCTGCAGGACTGGGACTTCTGGGCCTATGTCCTGCCTTGACTTCCCCATAAGAGCTAGTGCCTGAGTTCTACAGGTCCCAGAACAGACAAGAGGGGAGATCAGTTTATGGGTGAAACAAGCTCTTCCTCATCAGGTATACCAGCTCACTGTCTGCTAACCCAACCCAGGAGGCAACTGGAACTGCCTCACACTGCAGGGGACAAAGCACCAGGCAGTAAAAGGTCAGCTAAAGGCCACAGTTGAGTCTGCTCCTGGACAGAAACACAGCCTCTGCACTGCCTGCTCAACCCTGGCCTGGGGGTGGGGGATCATTGTGTATAGGTACTGCAGCAGGGCCCCAAAGACCACAGGGTTGATCTGCAGGAAGAGACAGCCAGGAAGGAAGGTTAGAAGCATGGCCCAGCACAAGCCCCCTGCTGTCCTTCTGCTACCCCACCCCAGGTAGAGATGTACCAGTGGGTGCCTGAGGTCCATGATGCTCTTGCCCTTCCATTTGGTGTCCAGTATGTTGGTGAAGTAGGCACTGTATGCACCCATGATGCAGTGATGGGCCTGGGAGGGCTTTCTGTGCACCATGAAGAACGCCTCTCCTTAGTCTCACCACTCCAATCTCCTATCCCATCCTGTAGGAGAACCCTCAGCCCCATGCAGGGTTCCACACCCACACCCACCTCAGACCCACTGGGCAAAGGCCATCCACATGCCCTGTGCTCCATCCACTATTGTAGGAAGTAGTCACAGTAGTCCTAGTCCCACTTCCTGCAGGAGGTTGTCACTTGCTTCTAATTATGCAGGGCCCAGTAGATGGTATCACTTACAGCCCCATAGAAGCAGCGTTCATTCTGGAAGGTGTTGGCCTTGCAGTGGGGTCATGGGGCTGCATGCTATATAGTTGGGGAGGGGCCTGGGGAAATCCTAATTTCCATATTTCCCCTCCTCTTCTCCTCCTCACATGTAGGATCCATATACCCCGGGGATGCATTCCTAAATGACCCTGGGCCCACTCTGACCCTAGGGCTTAGGCACACAGGCAAAGCCCTGTACACCCACACATATTCACTCATACATACCACAGACTACACAAAACAGAGTAGGCTGAGAGGTTGGCCCTCTTCTGTGCACTGAGGACACTGCCATTGACAGGTCCCTGTTCTCACTGAAGTGACATTTAGTGGGGCAGAAGGACAATAAACATATTAACAAATGATATCAGGTGCTATGAAGAAAAACAAAGCAAGACAAAGGGTGACAGTGACAGCAGCTATGACAAAGGGAGGCCACGGAAGGATACTGGGGCAGTGACAATGTACAGAGACCTGAATGAAGTGAGTTAGCCATGCAAAGATCTGGGGAAAAGCAGTCTAAGCAGGAAGAATAGCAAGTGCAAAGGCCCTGAGGCAGCACAAACTTGGAGCAGCACAGAGGAGACCAGTATGGCTGGAACAGGAAGCACATGGGAAAGCCAAACAAGAGAGGCCAGAGAGGGAGAATTAGGTCATGTAGCAGCTCCCAAGCAAAGAAAGGCATCCCACTTCTACACTAAATACATTAAGAAGCCATCAGAGGATTGTAGATGGAGCAGAAGAGGCAGCCATAAGACCAGCGAGGAGGCTGGCACTGCATCCAGGGAAAGATGGTCCAGGGACCGATGTGGTAGCTGGGATATGCAGGAGCAGCAGAGATGGGAGGTGGGCAAAGCAGGCAATAGGTTCTGAAAGTAGAGCTAATAGTATTTGCTGACTGGGTGTACAGTGAGGGAAAGAGAGGACTCAAAGCTGTTTGCAAATGTATACACATGCCTTATAGCACTTGCACACATGTACACACACATCCTTAGCCCCTGTTGCCTTCCCTCACCAATGGCCAGAAGGTAGAGTACCAGCTCCTCAGCTCCACCTGAGGTGAAGGAAGGAGTACCAGGAGGCATCTGTCAGGACTGAAGCAGCAGCTTCATCTACCCTGAGCACTCACCCAGCTAACACTCACAAGGGGGTGGTATCCCACTGGTCACATACATTCACATCCACATATCACTGCTCTAGCAGGTACCTGGACAGGGAGAGGGGAGGTCAGAGCCTGGGTCAATACAGGCTCATAGTCTGGGAGGGGAGATATTTTTTGGCTGAAGGAAGCCTCCCCCAGGTAAGGCAGGTGACAGGCAGACCAGCATAGATATGGTGTAGAGATGGGAACACAAAAGGCAGACCCTGAGCATCAGAGGCCAGGACCCAGAGCTGAAGAGGCTAATATTCTGGCCTGCAGGCATTTTGGAGAGAGGAGGTGATGGGGGCTCTGCTTCAGCCAGGACCCTCTGGTGACTTAGGGAGTCTGTAGGCAGGGAGAACAAGGAGGAAGCTGCCTGTAGGCATCCTGGTGGTATGGAAGTATGCTAAGAAATAGACACATTGTAGAAGGTGGAAGTCAGGAGAAAGGTACAACAGGTGATGCAATGTCGAGGCAAGGAGGTCATCATGGATGGTGGTGGAGCCATCACTGAGCAGGGCAGCCTTGAGGGATATCCAGGTCGGACCAGGGAATGCTGAGTAGCATTCAGCTTTGGGAGTTATCTACTAACTCCCAGGTGACACCTGATGAGAGAGAGTGGCCCAGGGAAGCTGTGGGAATAACTAATGGGGAAGGAAGGGCCAAGTAAAAGAGGTGCCTCACATCCCAATGGGGCACCCTCTCCACTCCTGCCAGAGCCGTGGAGATAGCGATTTCAGCTCTATATGTGCTTTAGCTACATTAATTAATTTCCTAATCTCCGATGACCAGAGGCTGATTGTGGGCCCACGTTTTCCCAACTCCAGATCCACAGGCATCAGAAAGAGGAAACAGATCGGGAGTCCTGGGCCTGCCCCTAGTCTGACCTCAGCCTCAGGTACTCAGAGGGTGAACCTCCTCTCCTCCCACTTGTCCTCCAGGGCTCTGCGGCAGTCCTCTCCTCCAAGAAGTCCTTTGGGACCACCCTGTTCCCACACTTCCATCTGTAAGGCCACTGTGACCCCCTGGCGGCCTGTTGGCAAGTCGTCTGTGGTGGGTCGGGTGCTGGTGCCGAGGCGTCAACCTGTCCAGGAGCCGTCCCCTGCATGCCAGGGGCTGAAGACACTCTTGGGGTGTCACACCCTCTCGGGGCTGTGGGTCCTCACTGCAATAGGCCTATGTCCCCCTTCTCCCACCTGGCGAAGAAGGCGCTGGTATTTATGGCACTGACGAGCGGGCACGCGGGGACTGGCCACAGGCAGCGAAGGTGGCAGCGACTTTGACCCTCCCGAGCCAGAGGTAAACAGACACCCGCCGTCCCACTCCTCCCTCCTGCTCACCCCACCCTCAAGTTCCCACAGCCCTACCCGCCCCGCAGCAAAAACCAGTCGGGCAGGCAGAAAGACTGGGCCCTGCGTGGGCTCCGAGCGGTTTTAATGGGGGGTCCTGGGCTGGCCCCTCAGGACATCGGGTGGGGGTGGGGAGGACTACGCCAAGGTTATTTGGGGTGAGGGGGAAGCGGGAGGAGCCAGCACCCGGAACCAGGTTGTGGGGGAAACCAGGCTGTGGGGGAGCGGCAGCTAGGAGGGAGGGAGCGCTACTGTGCGTCCCAGTCCATCTTGCTTGTGCTGACGCAGGAGGCTCATGCCCTCACAGGTGCGTGTCCTCCTCGAACACATCGGAGTCCTCCGGGTCCCGCTTGCTCCCTATGAGCACACTCCAGCCCCCCGGGCCGTTGACCGCCCCGCCGCCGTTCAGGCTGGGATGCTTCTCTTGCATCTCCGACTGGCTGTCGCTGGCCACATCTAGCGTGGGGTTGTCGTGGCAGCCATTCTCTACGAAGCGCAGCTCCTCACCGTGTGACTGCGGACCGGGACCAGGCTGCTGGGCTAGCACCTCCACCCCACACCCCCCCTCGCACCCCCCGGCCCCCGCCTCTGAACAACCCACCAGTTGCTTGTTGGTGTCCTGTCGACCCAGCTGGTGACCTTGAACAAGTAAGTCACTTCATTGTGCCTTCCTTAGTCTGTAAAACCCTACACAGGGAACCCCAAGGACCCTTGACAGATGACACTTCCCTTCTGTTATGTTTCCACAGCCCAACTCCTTTCTTAAAATAATTCCACTGATCCTTTGACTAAAGAAGCCTGTGGCCTCCAGAACACCAGCAGACCCCTCCAAAAAGCCTCCTTATAAAGAGACCTTATGGGACTCCTGGGAAAAATGGGAGTCTTGCCCTGCCCTCTCCTCTGTGGGGAGTATTTTCTTGACCACTGGGCAGTGCTGAACTAGGGCTTCTCTGGTGAGATCTCCCAAAATGAGCTCAGGCCTGCAGGGCCACTCTGCCCCAGGACGGGCTAATGCCATAAAGGACTACTGTGGTTGGGGCTAGTGCCCTATACAGAAGGTCATCTAAGATGTGAACACTGGACAGGTGGCCTCACCTGCAGTACTCCATCCTAGGACAACTACTGCCAGCCCACATGAGATAAAGATGACAAGCCTGCTGGGCACTTCCATCTCCACCAGCACTGTCCCCAGGCCAGGACCTCTGCCCCACCCACCCCCACACTCACCACATGTTTCAGCTTGGGCAGCCGGCGCTGCCAGCAGTTGTAGAGCAAGCCCAGAACGATGATGATCACACAGATGGCACCGATGACCACCAGCACCACAAAGAGCGTCCCGTAGTCACTACGCACCTGGCTGGCCCGGGCCTGGCAGCTACTTGTCGTGGAGTAGTTCTGGATACCAATCTGGGTTTGGGAGGGGCCAGGCTCCTCAGCTGAGGCCCTAGGATGCCATGGCTCCCACCCCGACATGGGGCCATGGGGTTGGGAGCTTAGGAACAGGGATAAGCTGTGAGGAGGAGCTGGCACACTCCTGGCTCCTGAAGCTCCCTTAGAGGCCTGGATCTGTGTTCATGAGTGATTCTCTCTGCCTTATGCCCACCCTGTTCACCTGGGGGCAGCTCCAAGCCTCTCCACCCAAATCTCCGTTCCCTGCCTCCCCCTGACATCCACACCATGGCTCTGATTGACCCTGACCTTGTTGTGACAGAAGTCTGGCTCGAAACCCACCTAGTTGTGGCCCTGACCCCCACTGAGACTGCCCTCGCATGCTGTCAGGCATGATCCAAACTCAACAGAGTTCCCACACCTGTTCCACCAGTTAAAAAAAAAAAAAAACCGACAAAGGCAGCTGTGATCCTCTTGCCACACATCCTCCACCACATACCACCACAGGCTCAGGCCCCTAAGACACAGCTTCCACCTTGGGGGTAGGGTATTTTAGTATTAACCTAGTCTTCATGGGACACAGACAGTGCAATGGATGCTGGGGACATCATGGGCCACCCCCAGCTTTTAGCTTCCTTTTCCCACTGGAGTGGTCACCAGTGATATTCACCTGCTAAGCCCCATTCCCACATTGCTGGTTGTCTTGGGTGGGCCTGCTTTCTCTGGCCCAGAGGCATTGTGCCCTGACCCAGCCCAGCAGATGTTTTCTCCACAAATCAGCATCCAGGCAGAAAGGGAGCAAAGAAGGTGAGATACCCTCCTCAGAAGACAGGTGCCAGGGTGAAGGTGCTGTTTCCTGGCTCCTGGTCCAGTGAGCTGGGAATCCCCTTTCTGCCTTTCACTCCCCTTTCTAATGCCAGGTATCAGCTCTTCTTTGGTTTCTGTGAACCACCTGTATATTTCCAGTACTTTTCTCTATTGACTTTTTAAGTGATCAAGGGTCAATTTTTCCTTGATAGAACTTGATAAATGCCCACTAATATACTTCCAAAGGCCTACTGTACCTTTGGCCATGTCAGACAGCATGAAGTATCCATTAAAGCCAGAACAGCCAGGGGCTGGGAGAAGGAGCAGGAAGGTCTATAAAGGAATATCAAGGCCAGCCTGTTCCTACCAGCTCTCAGGGTTCACAAACCCAAACATTCATAACCAGAACAGCCCTTACTATAGATACAGCATCATAGTGAAAGACCTGGGTCTTGAGTCATTCATGCCTGGTCCAAAGCTACTAGCCGTGCAATCTCAGAGGAGTTACTGCCCTTCCCTGGGCTTCAGCTCTAACCTTAAATGGAATACCAAGATTACTCAATAGGGTGCCTTACTTAATGCTCAAAAGCCCTGGGATGGTAGTAAAGGAACAGAGTACAGTCTGGCACTCAGTAAGCATTCAATAAGCTAATCAAAAAACCCAGAACTCCCACAGAATTCACCCCTCAACCTGTGTGTAGTAGATGAGGAGGCAGGACCATAGCCATGCACAGCTCATCTTTGTTGTCTAATACTGCACAGCCCTCAAGGAGGAGGACTGATGACAGATCACTGAATTTCACAGTGAGTAGAAGGAATTTTGGTAGAAATGATGACTGACCTCAAGAAGGGGTGTGGAATGAGGAGCAGGAGGGAATGGGGACCTGACCCTCCATGAGCCATGGCTCTGCTCCACTCTGCACAGGTGGCCAGCCTGTGTCCTCAGCCAAGGTCTCCAGGATGTGACAGATGTTGGTCAGGGGTGAATCTCAAGAAGGCATGGCTATCTGCTGTGCCTTAAGTTCCGCCCTCCAACCTCAGCTGGCCAAGCACTGCCTACTCCCATGGTTTCTAGACAAATGCCCAGGCCTCTTGTGCTTTCTCCTATGGTTCTGGAGCCACAGCATGTGCTCCCACCCACCAGGATTCTGAGCAGTTCCTTGGTCAGACATAGTGTTTTTCCCAGTGTCTACCCAAAAACCTCCCACTTACCTGTCAAAATGCCCCCTCAGAGGTCTCCTCTCCTCTGAGTCCTCTCCTGATCACCACCCACTCCTTGGCCCCTTTCTGCCCCTGGCTGTCACATGCACAATGCAGTTGGTAGGTAAGTGCTCATACAGTCTGTCTCTCCCATGGGAACTGTGTCTTAGGAGACCTGAAAGGAAGAGCTACAGAGCAAAAGTCTATTTTTTGCTCCTTTGCACAACATGGTGCAGGCTGCCCTCCTATCTTCAGGCAGCTCTGCTCTCACAGCTTTAAAGAACAGGAGAAGAATTCATCCCTGCCCTCTTACCTCCATCAGACTCCTGCGGATATCACCCAGCATGGAAAGGACATCTTGAGTAGGCACCACTCCTGGAGGGAGACATCAGCAGCAGCACAGCCTTGGCCACTGAGGCACTCCCCCTGCAGACTCATCGTCCCTTGGACAGCCTCTGACCTGAGCTTCTTCCTCTAGAGCTCCACTCCCTGGCTCCTGACCACACTCAGATCTCATGGGGCATGGATGACCACTCTCCTCTGCTTGTTGCCCACTGGTTTACTCATTAAAAAAATTTAGTGAGTTCCTACTAAGTGACAGTTGTGATACCAGGAGGTCACTTCCACAGCTCCTTAAAGCTCATTCTAAACACACCCCTTCTTATCCCACCACAAAGTATACAGTACAACTGTCTGGCACCTGTACTGAAACCACACCTCTTCCACCTCCTATTCCCAATGTTCTCACCTTCTTTCTCCTCCTGTCTCCCATCTTGTTGATACCCACAGACCCTAAACTAAGGAGTCCAAGCATCACTTCATCTTGCCATCCTAAAAGCCCAGCCTACATCCAAAAGCCCTTGGCTGCACTTTCCCACAGTTCTGCAGGAGAGTTCACATGGCCTTAGGAAACTTCTACAGATCTGACCTGCCTCCCACTGCTCTCCTGGACCCTCTCACCAGATATGCCAATAACTGTCCTGTGGGTGTCCCCCCACCCCAGCTCACCCTGTTCGCCCACCAAGGTCATCAGAAGGTGCTGCTCCTTCTCACTGGGCTTGCTCAGGGAGATGTGCCAGTCTCCATGGAAACTGCTGCCATGGCGGGGTAGCACCTCCTCCACCAGGGCCAGGAGCTGCAGCCCCCAGTGCTGCCGAAACACCTCCTACAGGGGCAGAAAGAGAGCCTATGCTCAGTGAGGAAGACAACTCTAATTATTCCTGCCTCTAGTCCCAGCTCCGCTCCAACTTGCACCCACTAGTCAAACACTGGGAAAGACCATCTGGCTATTACAGAGGGGGATGCTCTGGACCACTTGAGAAGCTATGAACTTGGCCTTCAGGAAGACTGTGGGTTTGTTCCCTACAGGCATCCAGGTGCTTCTTACCACCTTGGCTTTGTGCCACGAGAAGGCTGTGGGACCTACCCAGTGATACTCTCAGGTGAACTGGGAGAACACATATTTCCACATATGATGACAAGTCCAGGAAGGGGATGTGTAGCATGTGAAGGGGTATGGAAGACAGTTCATGATGCCTATGTGTATAGTGCAAAGGATGAATATTTTGGGGTGCAGGGGTAAAGGACCAATAGATGTTCTGATTCATACAGCCACCAAAGACCAGGAGGGCAGGTGAAAAGCAGTTTAACTGTTCTCATTTCTCATCTATCATTGCAGAGATACAGCCCAAATTTGGGAATCAAGAAAGGTATCTCAGCACTCTAATGATGGTAGAGGCGACCAGAACTAAAGAAATGGTTAAAATGGTAACCCAATTCCCCTGGAAAGCAGGGCTGGGAGTAAGAACAGGGGTATAAGGAGCCTTCTTTTTCATGAGTACTCTCTTGTACTCTTTAGATTGTCTTGACCTTGTATATATGTAATTACATTTTTTTAAGCAAGAAGCTGGGGCTGAGCAGGAATGCAGTGAGTGGCAGGAACTCAGGCTGGGTGGGCCTAGAGGCCAAGACCCTGCCTCTGGCCCCCAGCCTGCCCCTGTCCCTACCTAGCCCCATCTGGGAAGAGACCCTCCTTTGGCTCTGTGGCTGCTGCCCACCTGACCTCCCCTGTCCCCCAGCTCCTCTCCAGCAGTCTTCTCCTTCCTGTCTCTGGGAAGTGAACAAATACCCTGTTCCTGGTTTCCAAATATCCCAGCCAGACACCCCTCCACCAGCTTCTCAGCTCTTCTGAGTGCCCTGCTGTGAAGCTGTAAGCCAGGTCTGCCATGAGGAAAAGGCATCTCACTAGGCCACCCCTCTGGAATCCCTGACACTCCTAGTCTCCTTTCTGCTACAGCCCAAGCTAATGAGCTTTCCCTGATGTCATGTCAACCTGAAGGCCACTAGGGTAAAGTCCCTCATTACCATGGCAAGTGCCAGATTTAGGCTCAAACCTTGGCACTCACTAGCCTAACAGAAACCCAAATGAGTTTTGAATTTGGAAGAAGACAGGTACCTGGAGAGTGACATATGTAGTTAAGAGAGCCCTAGTTCCTGAAATGGTTCTTACCACGTGTGTATATACAGGGAGAGGGTGCATGCCCTCACTTGTCTGAGCAGGGTACATGGTGAATGCGCTGTGACCCAGCAGCCTCACTGCTTGTAAACAAAACAAAACATAAACAAAAAATGGCCCTCCTGCCACCAGCAGTGCCTCTGCCCATGCCACAGCCCTATACTCCACCACATGCATGCCTCACATTTTCCTGAGTCCAATTGTCTGGTAAGACTAGGCTGTTAGGATAAATGCCCACATTTTCAGATGGGGAAACTGAGGCTTATAGAATTGCAATATTTTGCTAAAGGTCATGGAGCTGATAAACAGCAGAACCAGGATTTGAACCCAGATTATTTAGATTCCAATCCAAAGCCAGGGCTTCTCTCCCAGGCCACTAACACTCAGTTCCTACCTACAAAATAAATGGTATATTTTCAATACGATATAGTCATCACACTCCCCCAGAACTGACATTGTGGGTCTGTGGGCTTCAGCCAGATAATTCATCAAGCTGTATACTTCAAGATTTGTGTGCTTTTCTGGATGCATATTTTAAGTCATTAGAACTTTTCTTAAGTGCAATACACTCATGAATATAAGCTATCTTTCCTGCTAACTCCTGAGCAGATGATCCTTCTCACAAATCTCAGAGTTTGTCCTACTATAGGGGCTCTAGCACCACTGGTGTGGTCCTTGCAGTGAACAGGAAGGGACATGTCTTTACCTATCAGATTATGTTGACATTTGGAAATATGGTAGATGGAACTGATGAAAGCTCTGTTCTCCCACCTTGCTACATACACATAAAAATACCAGATAAAATGCAACAAAACAATGAAGATGTTCTAAAAGCATATCCATCCTCAAACTTAAAGGAGACAGAAATAGAGGGAACTCAAAGCCATAAGAGTAAGCTGGCATTAAAGTTATAGTAATTCCTGGGCATCCAGGACCCAGATATAGAATCCAGCAGTTGGTAACCTGACTTTCAATGCTCACGTGAAGACAGGGAAATGTGCTTTTGACCCAGGCAAGGTAGAGAACTAGAGCAGAGTACCAAGACACAGCCTCAAAGAGCAGCCCTTTCAGTAAAATGGGGACTTGAAAAACTTCTCTCACCTGGAGGAGCTCTAAGAGGTATGCCATCTGCCTGTGTCCATGGGTAGGAGGAAAAAGTTACCTAAGATTGCTTAAAACCCCCAGGCTTATACTTCATCTAGGGGTGGAACTTTCTAAACTTGTACTCCTTTGTGGTTTAGAAAGCCAAGCCAAGAAATAAGATTAAATTTATTCTAAGACTATTGGAAATCCTGAAGGTACTCTTAAATCACTCTGTAGAAATTCTTTCATAACCTGGGGTTCAAGATGAGAGCACAATAAATTCTGAGAAATATGAGGGAATAAGGCACAAATGCAACAGACAAGAGAACTGACATGCCAAGATATAATGTCATTAAATATGAAAGAGATAAAAAATAAGTATGTGTAAAATAATTAAAGCCCCAGTCAGTGTGGCTCAGCTGGTTAGAGCATCATCCCATAAATCAAAAGATCACGGGTTTGATTCCCAGTCAGGACACATGCCTAGGTTATGGGTTCAGACCCCCATCAGAGTGCATACAAGGGACAACCAACTGCTGTTTCTCTCTCACATTGATGTTTCTCTGCCTCTCTCTCTCCATCCCTTCCCCTCTCTCTAAATCAATACACATGTGTTTGGGTGATGATTTTTTTAAAAGGTGAAATAAAGAAGGAATAGAAGCCATAATGAAAGAAGAGAGCAAAAATTAAAAAGAAGGAAGAGATCTGGAATCAAATAGAAATTCCAAAGACATAAAAGTTATCTATATTAAAGACTCAAGGATGAGTCAAACAGAAGATTAGACACAGCTGAAGAGAGTTACTAATTCGGAAGTGAGAGATGGAAAATTACCCAAAATGCATCACAGAGATTTTAAAGACAGAGAAAACATAAAAGTGTGTTAAAAGACTCTGTAACTGGAAAAAAAACAGCCCAATAAACTTCTGATAAAAATGAGAGAAAATTGGGAATCTGGTAATGTCTAACAAACTGCATATGCAACCTCAGTTCTAAGAATTTACTCTGAATATACATCCCAACAACACAAAAATACATTCACATATTATTCACTGCAGCAATGGAAGTAATTTCAGAATATTGGAAACAACCTCAATGCCCATATGAAGGAAATTTGATGAATTAACTGTGGTATACAAACATAATGGAATTATTCAGTTGTAAAAAAATGATAAAGAATGATCTCATAAACTGACAAAATGATTTGCAGAAATCATTTTATTCAGTTTTTTCCCTTTTGAAAAAAAACTGGAAAAAAAAACAAAAGGGAAAAAACATAAGGGGGAAATAAATAAAATGCAAGAATATTGTTAAGGACTGAGTTGTGTCTCCCTTGAATTCATATGTTGAACCACTACCTCCCAGCACATGAGAATGTGACTGTATTTGGAAACAGGTCATTTAAAGAGATAATTAAGTTAAAATGAGGTCCTTAAAGAAAGCCCTAATCCAGTGACTGGTTTGTTGTTGGCATTTTTGTTTTTTGTTTTTGTTTTTTTACAAAAGGAGATTAGGCCATAGATATGAACAGAAGAAGCACCATATAAGGGCACAGGGAGAAGATAATCATCTACAAACCAATGAGAGAGAGCTCAGGAGAAAACAAACCTGCCAACACTTAATCTTGAACTTTCAAATTCAAATATAAATAGTATGCTGTTTTTCTGTAGGGAAGAAACAAGAAATCATACATCTGCTTATTTCAATGAGAAATACCCAGAAAAGATAACCAGAAACTTATAAGATTGGTTATCTAAAGGGAATGGGTGGGGTGAAAGAGATATGGGGGAAAATGGTATTGCTCTAAGTATACATTTGTGTATCATTTAGATATTTAGAACCACAGTATTGTTTTACATCTTAAAAAAATACAAATAAATCAACACAGATGAGAAAAATAAACTAAAATTAAACACAAACAGAAACAAATAAACCTAACTATATTTCAAATGTGTAACTACACCAAAAGGTGGGAAGAGCACTAACCTGTGATATCTTAGGTAAAATAGGAGAAACCAGTGAGTCTGCATTGCTTTTTCTAGATTGTGAGGATCAAATTCCTCAAACTGAAGCTCTAACTTGCGAGACTTAACCTGTAAGACTGTGAGCACTTTCTCCCTTTCTTTTTCTGAAGATGTGTTATCTGTATAGCCTCATCATTTTTTATGCACTACTATTACTCTTCAATAATGTCAAGGTCATTAAATACAAAGAAAGACTGAGGAACTGTTGTTCCAGATTAAGGGAGACTAAAGAGATATGACAACCAAATGCAAGGCATGATCCTGGATTAGATATTGAACCAGGAGGAAAAAAGCTAAAAAAGATATTACTGGACCACTGATAAAATCTAAATAAGGTCTATAGTTTACAGTTTTCTGTCAGTGTTAATGTCTTAATTTTGATAATTGTTCTGTGGTTATCAAAAAATTCTTATTCTATGGAAATACAAACTAATATACTTAGGGTAGGAGAGAAAGGGAATGAAGCCTTCAATTTACTCTCAAATGGTTTGAGAAATTGCTAACAATTAGTGAATCTGGATGGAGGATATATGGATTTCTTTGTA